CGGCTCGATCCTCACCTTGTTTCGGCTGTATCGAACGGTCCCTTTCCGCGTGTCTTCAGAGACCAGATCAGTAAATATCCAGCCAACCTATAAAGAAGTGTTATGGAGAAAACTGCTTTAAGGGGGGAAAAAAAAAACCCAACCCAACAACCAACCCAAAGCGCAGGAGAGCGTATACATTTTCTCCTAGCAGGACAAGATGTTCTTGGCTCCTCGCACGGCCCTGCTGTAGCTGCCTGAAGGAAATGGCTGTCCCAGCTGTGCGGGGCTCATTTGAATCCCATTTCCAGCAGCAGCGTGCCAGCTGGCCGGCCGGGGCACCTGCAGCTTTATGGTTCACTATGGAATTATTTCTTCATGGAAAGATCTGGAGGCTGCAAGAGGCCTCTCAGTCGCCACCTCCTCCTCCTCCTCCTCCTCCTCCCACCCACGGCAAAAAGCATTTCCTATAGAGCGCTGGCAGCGCGGGGAGCGCCGGCAGATGACAAAGCAGCTCACATGATGGCATTTGGAAGCTCGCAGTGAAGATAAAGCTCATATGTTCCCACCGGAGCGTGATTCATCCCAAACCAGAGCCCGCTCCCGTCCCAAATAAAACCAAAACCAAAGCCCACAGTCCTGCTTTTCTGCGTTGTTTGCACATGGGAGCAGAGCCGTGTACACACGCACCGCTGCCTGAACCCCGCTCCGCACGTGCTGAAACCAGCGCCAACGGCCGGGCTCCTGCGGCCTTAACCCTTCAGAGGGAGAAATGCTGATTCAGGCTCCCGGCAGACAAAAAAACCAACCACCCCGCAGGCGGCAGCGTGTCAGGTGTTAAATCCTATCGATTCAAAATATCTGATACGAGGAGGGGAGGAAAAAGAGTGGAAAGAAGTAACTGCCCGGCACAGGAGCTTTGCTTCAGACACCGGCAAAAGCGCTGCAGATCTTATCTCGGGCGAACAAAAGGGCTCCCCACAGATGTTTACAGTCTGCTGTGCCCAGCCGCTTCTAATTGGTGTTTTCTTTAGCAAGTCAGCTCTTGTTTGTGTACATCTCATTCCTGGCATTCACCCCGTGCCAAAAGACTTCCCGACCCAGAAAACAGCAGTGGAGGTTTGAGAGATGTCAGCAAAGCAGCGGATCTCAACACCACTGCCCTGATGGGATGTGGGGGCACCAGACCAGAGGACCGGGGCTCAGCGGCTGGGGGCCCTGCGTCCCCAAAATCAATGCAGATTAACTCCCTGAGCAGCACCGAGAGACGAGACCCCACTGAGGGGAATAAACAACAAGCGGGAGCACTGATTCTGTCAAAAGGAAGAACAAACTCGGCTACATCTGTGCCAAATTAGCGCTCGCCGGGGAGACGCTACCAGGAACGTCTCCCATGTGAGGGGAAATCAAGGGAAAATCGTGTTTCTGCTTCTCTGCTACTGCCTTTGATGTCACTGATGACAGAGGACTGCTGACTTCAGCTGCACAGCCCCGCTCGTGCTCAGAAAAACGCTCTCATTTTGCTTTTCGTACCTAAAAGCATCAGAACTCCCGGCACTTAAGCCGCATTTCAGGTATGCCCAAACGCTCCTAACCCCGTGGAGCCCAAGAGAACGGCCGCTGACTTTCTTCATTACCCCACAGAGGCGCGTGAGACCCGACAACGTCCTAACCTTTCTCAGGCCAAGCTTTGCAGCGATCTCATCCACGACCTCGGCTTTGGGATCGTCCAGGATCTCCAGGCTGTTCTGCGTACCGATCTGCGGCAAAGAAACACTCGCTAGTCAAACAGAACAGGAAAAAACACAGCACGGGGCCATTGTCAGGAGCTGAGGTCTTTGGCATTGCCACTGACCCGCTTCACCCCAGAGACCTCCTCTATTCACAAGCCCATCCTGTCGGAGCCCTTCGGCCCGGCTTCCAAACCGTGTCAGGGTTTATGAATGAAAGGCTCAGCATTCACAAACGCCCGTTGCCCTTTGGAAAAGGCGAGGGGCGATGCAATTTTCCGCCGTTTCCGGCTGTTTGAGCAGCGGAGAGGCAGAAATCCAGCGAACCCCAGAGTCCGCGCCCAGGCATTCCCCGCGCGCTGGGAAACACGAGCGCGCACGGGTGCGCTTCGGGGGCGAGCTCTCTCGTGTGGGGAGGTGCCAAAAAGCACAGCAGAGGCTGCTTGGCAGGAGAGCAAACGCTTCCTTGCTTTTGCCGCGCGCAACTGGCAGCACGTGAACTTCCAAAGCAGGGGCTTAACGGCGATACCGAAACAACAGCGGGCACGGCTCTGCTCACGCTGGAACGAAAGGGAGGGAAGAACTTATAAAAAAGCTCGCAGTCCTGCTCTCACACATCCATTTGTTCTTTTCCACTGACGTATCCGCTGCATTTTACTCTAGCGGCCCTGCAGAAATCAGCAGGAGGGCGATTTGTTTGTGTGCACGGTGTCTGCACTTAAAAAAGTGGCTTTGATCAGCACTGGTGAAGCCAGTAGGCAAACTCAACACAAAGCCGAGCCTTGTGTTGTGGGCAGAGCGGATTTTCCTTCTCCGTTTTCAGCTCTCGGACACCAAATTCGGCTGTTGGCTTCCCCCTCGGCGGGACGGGGAGGACGCCTGGTGTCAGCACGGCGCTGTGCGGTGCCGTGCCCCATCTAGCGGGGACTCCCGGCTGCTCCGAGACACCAAAGCTCATCCTCCGCCTCTCAACCAAGGCAGCAGACTTCAGTTTTGTCTCATTGAGCTGCTTAAACTTTCCCAGAGAGAGCCGATAAGAAACTGAAGCAAGCGCCACGACTTTTTCTCCCTAGTGCAGAACGTTCCCAAGCTCTGCCATACCTTGCAAATCCAAAGATCAACTTGGAAAATGAAGTCTACTGTTACGAAGTGTCCCCGTCTTTAAAATATCTGAGCACAGAGCAGTGTAAAAAGTGCAAAAATAACAAAGGGCAAATCTGGGTTTGACAATTTTCAATGGCAGTAACGCACACAAAGACCTAAATCACAACAGCTTCTTCACGGGACCGTTTTCCTTACGGAGCTGCAGTCGGAAACACTGCGAGAAGTTTCCCAAAGAAGGAAGTGTTTCTGAGGATACTGATGAGTCGATACCGACGCCACAGCACCCGGCTTTTACCTGTGGGGGTTCATAGATGGCAGCAACCTCCGCGCGGATGCCCAGGGGGATGTCTTTGTGCTCGGTGTAGCGGCCGTACAGATAGCCCAGGTGTTGGTTTCCTGTCTTCCGCCAGAAGTCTAGGAAGCGATCTGCAATTGTGTGGTTCTCAAACATGATGTTGTCAACATGCCTGTATTTCTGTTTGACAAAGTTCAAGCGTCAGGCCGTCCTCCACCAGCTCCCAGCGCCAAAACCTTCCCCAGCTCCCTAGGATTCACAACCCTCCCACCCCGTACGGCTGAACCCCGCTAGGGGCAAGCTGGATGCCTCCCTTCATCCCTCTCCTCTCAGCTGTCTTCAGCACCATTTCCCTGCCCAGCAAGCAGAACCCACCACAGACTGGAGCGTGGGGAGGCACTGGGCACCCCCAGCACCCCATTAGCTTGGCTTTGTTACCCCAAGAGCCTTGGCACGAAAACAAGACTGGAATTTCAGAGGAAAACACAAAGCAGCAGCAGTGGGTGGCCTTTTGGATCCCGTGAGGGAAAAGAGTGGAGATGCATCGCTAGCGGTGCCAGCTCAACGTCCTCCACGTCCAGAGGAAACTGCTGAAGCAGATACGTTCTGGAGTGCTTTTCTGCAAGGACTGAAGACCTTAACAGCCCTTTCTCCGACAACTGCCAATACGCAAAGGCTTTTTTGCTCCAAGTTGGCTGCTCTTGAAGTCATCTCTCCAAAAATAAGGGCCAAGTCCCTTCCCGGCTCTAAGAGCAGGGGCTCCTGCGAGCTCGCCTCACCTGCCTATTGAGAGTGATGGCGCTTGGCTGGCACTTGGTACAGATGCCCTCTGGCCAAGGAGGGTGCCCTTCGCAGCCCGATTTGATCTTGCAGCTGATGTTTTCCAAGGCAACAAACTTCCCCCTGCAAGAAGGGAAAGGCTGCTGTTACCACAGCCGATGCTTCTCAAAAATAAACCGAGTGGCTAGAAATATCATCGAGGAAGCAGGGCAGAGGAGACGCGGTGGCACCAATGCTCTGCACCTTCAGAGAATCTCCAAGCACCCTGCAGGTTCCCACAGGGGATGCTCTGCTCCTGTGGCTCCCAGGTAACCACTGCTGCCCGGTCAGCGAGGAAGGACAAGAGGCTGATGTGTGCTCCCTGACCCTGCTCCTAAGCAGATATTTAAGCAAGAGACAGAAAACTCATGGGACACTGCTGAAATAATTTATGCAGCAGGTGGGAAGTAAGAGATTATACCACAAGGGGAAATTAAAGCTCTTCTCATGTGCACAAGGCCTCCTGCAAAGGGAAGTTCCCTTCAAATGAAGGCATTACGGACTCGAGCTGCATCTCACAACGACCTCACCAAAAATCCCAACGGCATTTAGGGATAGGAGGAAGAAGGTTACACCTCTACGGGGCGTATTTAAAGGAAGCATAATGAAATAAATAGGTATTTCAGTGCTGCTCAGCACTTATCTGGCTGTGTCACCGCAGCGTCCCCACCCCGGCGCAGGGCGGGACGCTTTATCTTCCAGTTAGTGGGTGGTGAACCACAGCACCACGAGAAAGGGTTTCACTGGGGACACGTGGAGCAGGGCACAGAGCAGATCAAGGTCCCTCGTCTTTCTGTTTAATTCACCTTTGTAGGCAAGAAGAGCCCTTGGGGGATAAAAGCTCCAGGTCCTGCACAGCCTCAGCGCCTCTACGTGAGGTTTGAGACCCAGGCTTGGAGCCTGATATGAAGAGTGAGCTCCTTCCACCTGGCTCTCTCCCCCATTGGGAGTGTTTTCTGGCAGCAATTGCATTGCCACAGGAGAAGAAAGTTTAAAAATGAAATTTAAAAGAAAAAAAACCACAGAATTATTTCTCCCCTCCTTTCTTTTTTTGTCTTTTTTTTTTTAACGTGGTGTTTTCTCCTCAGTTTGCCATCCAACACTGCTCTGGTGAGGTCTGTACTTCCATTTGTACCTTAAAAAAGAAGTCACGACGACACACCCTTAAAAAACCGAGGATTTTCTTACTTGTCCGCCCCTCCGGTCAGCTTCCTGATGTAGGCATGGAAGGACATATGCTTCACAGGAGGTTCCAGATGGTTTAGATAATCCTCATCAAAAGGCTGCCAAAAAAACACCACAGAAGGAAAAGCCAGGTCAGACACCTGTCTGGTAACACACACTGAACAAATGGATCTGCTGGAGTCAACGCCGCTCGCTCCCAATGTGGAAACAATCATGACAATTTGGGCTCGTTCTCAAGGCAGCTACTACTGGGATAGGAAAGGTGTTTCCTTACAACAGCCGGGTTTATTATCGCCTCCTACCTTTCTAACAGCTCGGCTCCACAAATCAGACCGAGCCTCAAAGGCAAAACGCTTCTTCCCTTCAATATCCAATGGCAAACAAAAAGCCCAGCTGCTCAAACAAGGCCAGAGCGCCTCCTGAGCACCCCGGGGGGAAGCAGGGAACAGGCATCCCGCAGCAACTTCGGAGGGATGGCTGCTTTGTGCCGTAAATTGTACGGCTTCACACGTTTGTGGGTGTTACGAAAGCTGCCTTCAACTTGAATTAAGACATGGTTAAACTGGGAAGTGCTGGGATCCACGAGAGCGGGGATGCGACAAGAGGATGCAGGCACGAGTGAGGAGGGAGGAAAATTGGAGCTGTTCTAAAGCGCCTTCTGTTCAACCCATTACTGCAGAAAAACTGAGCGTTAATGAGGATAAACCCAGGGTTGAGGCTTAGCGATGGGTGTGAGCTGGCACCTCTGACAGCGCACAGCTGGATTCTGCCCCAGCCTCTACGTGAGATGCAGTGGAAATATCTGGATCCAAGAGGACTTGGCTTTGTGTGACTTTCCAGAGCAGCTTCGTGGGTCTCTTACCTCCAGTGGTACACAGTGCACACATTTACCCAAGGGGCCGTGGCGACACCTGCGCAAAGAGAAAGAGAAGCAGCGTTAAAGCTTATTTAAGAATGGAAAGGTCAGTCTGTAGAAGTTGCTCGAGATGAACGGGGAAGATCTGTGCAGTCATACCTGGACTGGCTGAATCCATGGGCTGAGGCCAATTGGATGAGGTTCAACAAGGCCAAGTGCTGGGTCCTGCACTTGGGTTGCAATAAAACCATGCAGTGCTACAGGGGACGAGTGGCTGG